GTTGTTATATATATCTATCAATCAATCAATCAATCAATCAATCAATGTTTATTTATATAGCCCAATAGCCTATCATAAATGTTACATTTGTCTCAGTGGACTTCCCAGTTTGTACAGAATATCAGTATGACAACACAACACCCTCTGTCCTTAGACCAGGGCTATTCAACTACACATCAGTTGGGCCAGATTTTATAACTACAAAATTCAGCTGGGCCAGACATTCAGCGGCCTGTAAAAAGCGGGTAGTGACACATTTTAAACCAACACATATTACTGCGATGAAAAACATGCAATTTTTATTCATTGTTCATCTAACAAAGGTAGGTCAAAAAGTGCATAAAAACACAATAAATTAGCATTAATTTAACAGAATCTGAAAAAAAGTGCACAGTTGTAGCATTACATTTGTTTGCTTTAGAAGTCAAATATTCAGGTTATTTTTTTTTGAACCAGGCACATCACAAAGTGCATTTACTGAATACAATAATAGCAGTCTTAATAAATGTGCTCACATACAAAAAAAACAGCTAGAGAGCTCCAATGCAACACAAAGAGGTAGTACTGTAGCAATATTTTTTCACTTTTCAAGTAATAACAAAAAAATCATACGTTTTGGTCACATTTGACCCAGACACATTACAAAGTGCATTTAAATGAATACAGAAAGAACTGTCAAACACTTCAGTGCACAAACCCATAACAAGGGACACGGGTAACTATATGAATGAATACTACACTACCGTCTACTATAGTAAACTACTCTAGGTGCTTACTATCACCTCATTTGTGATTTGTCATCACTGACTTTCTCAATGGGAGAAGGGACATTTTTTGTTTTGAACAAGAGCAGTAATTTCTGAGCCTCACTACAGATTCATGCAAATCCTAAACACTTGGTGAAGAGTGCTGTCGTCAGGGAGCAGCGAGTGGCTACTTCGTTGAAATTGAGTTCCATGTGTGAAAGCTTGATTCACATGTGTATGTGATTCCAAACATACTGGCACACAGATCGCTACTTCTGAACCGTTAGGAAATGTGTTTTTTTGACATGGACTCAAGAACTTCGCTGGCCCGTTAGTGCGCTGCATGTGTCATAAGTTCCAGTGATTATATTTCCCCTTCATGCAGGACCACTTCCTTTTGCTCTGAGTTGACTCGTCCCCTCTATTGCACAGATGAAGGTGGTCTCTGGCAAGGCCCATCATCCGTATGTGGCAGGGCAAGTCATCCAATCGGCCGGCAAAGTTCACTTTCAACTCGCAGATGAAATCTGTCATCACTCCGTTGATTTGCGGGAGACTGTGTGTGTTTGGGAGACGTCGGAAGCAGGCATCCGACCCTGCTCAGTCGGGTCGCGAAAGGTCCGCTTGACTTGATCTGCGTCCACAGATGCAATTACCGTTTTGTCTCTGTTTACGCTTCAGAGTTGGAAGAGACATGTTTTAGAGTTGGCGTATACATGAGCACCACCGTACGTAGCACCACTAGATGCACTTCAAAAAACGTGCTGCTGTTTGTTGTTTGGTGGTTTCTTGCAAGCGCGGAGTGTTGCGTTCAATGGGTCTATTTACTAGTGAGAATTTGGCTCCGGAGGCTGGCCACTCGCGGAGTTAGGTTTGGGCCGCACTGGCCCGCGCAGCCGTTGAATAGCCTGCCTTAAGCCGTTACATCGTATCAAGGAATTCCGGACGAAAATCCACATTTAAAGGGGACACATGGTTGAGAACTCAGGGAGAAGAACAGGATGATAAGACGGTCATAAGGATGCCATAGCATCAGTGACCAGGCCAACTAGCGCCGCGGGCCCACGTACCGGCCGCCGAGGCATTTCTTTCATCGGGCCCGCAGAACCGGGAGAAGGTGGAACTGCGTTCGCCCCCACCATTTTCGTTTTTAAATCGTCTCGGTGAGTAAAGTGCAGTCCGGAGTCCACCAGAGAGGCAGAGCTGCGGGACAGCTAGACTGACGTACTGCGAAACGTTCCCTGCCTTGATAAGAAGTGATCTTCGTTGTGATCAGAGTCTGCTTTATGCGACTCCGCAGCAAGCCAGTAGCCCGTGCGGACAGAGTCCAACAGAAAGGCAGGAGCTGCGGGACAGTAGCGCTAGGAATTGGGTGTAAGGTTGTAACGGGATACATGTAACGGCGTTACGTAATTCAGGTAGCAAAAATCAAGTAGGGCTAATGTATTCAGCGGGTTCATTTGAAGTACGGTAATCTGTTACAGTTACTTTCGTAAACTGCGAAGTGAATACTTTTGGAATACTTATTGGGGAAATTTTTGGTGGAAAAGTTTTCCTCACAAAATGTAATATTCAATTGAACCGCGCGAACTGTGTGCACACTGCACAGCGCTGCAGATGTCTGAGCGACGTGAGGACATGCAGCGTGTCTGTGGGCCTCCGCCCCGCATGCGAATGGAGAGAATCTCTTTTAAATATATTGAAAGTTAGAACGGAGTGGTTGGATAAAATGTGCAAGATATACGTTGCAAAATGATGAGCATTTATAACGGGATCAAATCAAGAATGTGATGGCCTGCGCTGATCGTTAACTTGCATGGGGCAGTGACTGGAAAAGTTTTAAAAAGTTTTACATGTTTCAGGATAATAAATCCATAATGATATTATTCTATTTAGGGGCGCCTTTCAAAACACCCAAGGAACTCTTCAATTCATAACATATTCCAAGGAAAGGTCCTCGAAGTACAAAGATGCAGTCGGGTGATGTTTTTTATGTGGGCTGCAGAATGAGAGGGAGCTGTCAGAATGACACCAAGATGTATGTGTTTGGTTCCTATATTAGCCATTAAACAGTAAATAGTGTTCCTGTTCACCAGAAAAACGACTACCCATCCTTTATTGAAAAATAAAGTATATCTACTGTAATTGCGATTACTTTCACAAGGCATGTATTCAGTATTCGAGTACGCGACTTACATTTACAACGATGGTACACCTCCAGTCCAAAGACCCTGCACTAGAAGTGTCATTTGTTAGAACGTGAGAGCACTGCTAAGCTATTATGCGGAGTCCGCGTAACGCTGAGTCCTCCCTAGCACCCCGCGGTCAACAACTTCAAAATTTGTGCCTATATAAAAATCGGCAGGCCGCAGTGGGTGTCTATTTGGATACAATTTGGCCGTTCGGACAATGTAGTTGGTGGCACTAAGAGCGGGTGGATCATTGTCCTCAGACAGAAATGGTAATTGCTATTTCTGTCAAACGGTGCCGAAAAGCCTTCGCTAGCCCTTTTATTTACGCTTCTGTGAAAGAGTTCTTGCAACATAAAAACGGTGCTCCAATTAGTATGCAGAACAATATTTAACATATCAGAAATTGAATCTACACAGCACTATGAATGAAAGTTATCTTTCTGAGAGAACTAGGGCAGCCAGCTGAGGAACCGCATTGTATTGCGTCCAAATGACTCTTTGTTAGCACTGGTTGAAAAGCCAATAAAAACAGGGATTTGAGTGCTGTCCGTATTCTTCACAAACCCGACGTCGACTTGAGATTATAGTCTATCTTATATATAATGACCTCTATAGGCTCTCTCATCTAGATAGTGCTACTCGAGGGCATCTATTATTTATGTTACGGATGTTTTGAAAGTGATATTTGTAATTTGAAGACGGGTGAAAGAGTAGTGTATGATGCTAGAGCAAAATTGAAGATGTGCGGCGGCTTGATGGGATACATCTTGCTCAATATATAGGATGAGGGGTGTTCAGTTCGCCTTGTATGTTGACCTCGGTCAGATCTTGTAGTTCGTACAGAGAGATGAGCTGTTACTCTGTTTACTACCTCGCCGGATATATTGACTGAGGGAAGGACTTGTAAGCGCCTGAATGAGTTTAAAAGCGCTCTGCACTTCAGGCTAGTTTAGCGATCTGGTACTAATTCGTATGATTTTCCGCTGACCCGGACGAAGTACATCCCCAAGTTGCTTCCACCGTTGTGCGATGTAAGGATGTGCACTTTTAATATAGATAGCGATATTGAACAAACTTTGGCATAGTATCTTATGGGTTTTTCTTACATGATTTGTCGTACTGTTACGTGACGCACAGATTAGCCCTATAGACGAAAATAATAAGAACAGCGCCCCCTCTGATTGCTTATTGTCTGGTTATAGGTTGATTAGTTTTTCCTCATAGGTTCTTAAATGCTCATGTCTAGTCCCATTCTATGGTAGACGCACCTCCAGAATGGCGATTGGTTGTTGTTGCCGATCAGCTAGCCGGCATTTCCGCCTAAAACACGGTAGTCTCATTGTCATATATTCTAAAGCAAACAGGGAGCAGTACAGAGAGAAATAGATAAAAGGTAAATTGCTCTGAGTATTGAGAAATAGATTATACTAGCGCTCATTTGAACTATACTCGACTGTTTCCTCGTCTTTTGTCGCGTGCGTCTATTGCGCGTCGGTGTAGGAGATATATTACTCATTACTGAATTTACGAGACCCTGATGGCACTTTGATCCTTGTAAGCATTCCTGCCGCTCCGGATTAGGCCCACCTCACTTAAACATTAAACGATAACTTTTTTAAAGCTTGTTTATTTTTATAAGGCTGTTTTTACAAACATA